AGACATATGTGTTCGTAGTCAAACATGCACTCTCTCTCTCTCTCTCTCTCTCTCTCTCTCTCCTGGGCTTGGGGACGGGTCAGCATCCCCGGGCCGAGTGGCCCGCCCAATGTTTTATTGGGTATACGGGGAGTGAAAAAGGAATATTCGATCACCTGTTCAGGCTAAAGCCATAATACTCTCTCTCTCTCTCTCTCTCCTCTTTCTCTGCTTCTGTTTCTGCTTCTGGGGTACATGAGGCTTGGATTCCCTCAGCCATTTTTGGCTACGCCACGCTGACTTCGGGCACGGGGCCAGAGAAGCATTAGACGATGATGGGACGGATCAGTTGGTGGCCGGAGGCCATGTCGGACAAAAGTTGGGCGGAAGGGCCGGAAGTGAAACACATCCACGAGGAGATTGCGACAAGCGCCCTCCCAGCAAGACGGACAACATGGGTTTCTGCAGCACTCGCCCACGAGGTACCAGCGCAGCCAGCCTCGGGGTCGCTTAAGCGACTCATGCTTGGACTGTCCCGCGACGGTACAAGGAGAATGAGACGGGAAGAGGGAAGATGTGGAGGGTCTCGGAGGAAGATGCGGAGGGTCTCTTTTCTTTCTTCTTCTCGATACAGCCGCCCCAAACAAGTCTCTTCATCCTCGGATGGCAGAGGCTGATTATGCAAAGCAATGCAAGGACAAAGGCTTCCTTTTTGCGCCTTCTGATAGCTTGCTGCCTTCCTCAAGCAATTTCAATGCTGGCTTGCCTCAGGAGATACTGGCAAGCAGTTTCGCAGCGCGGATTGCCTGGGCACCAATTTTCGCACATGCCCCAAGCAAAGAAGGGGAAGAAAAGACGTACCCATTGGAGCTTGACAGCCGTCCGCAAGAATCTGTAATCCTGGGAGGTTCTGTGCTCCTGGAACCACGCCGCGATCTCCGACTGCTCAGCCTTGCCAAACATCTTCATGGCAAGGAGAGAAGGGTGAAAGGGGGAGGAATGATGAGGTGGGGAGTGAGTAAGAGAGCGAGGGGAGGATGGAGAGGGACAGTGAGTGAATGAGTGAGCGAGAGAGTGACAGCAGAAAGAAATGCAGATTGATAGAGATGATAGAAAGACCTGTAGACGGATGGAGAAAACCTACACCGAAAAGTTAAAGGGAAAAACCTCACGCACGCTATCAACAGGAATCATGCATCCCTCAGTCAGCAGGCACGTCTAACCCCAATCCTAAACCCTGAGCCCCAAACTCCAACTGCAAGAACACAAGCGAGCCTTCATGCTGCTGCAGTGCCCCAGCCGCGCGCCGAAGGCTGTCCGCACCAGACGTGCCTGCCAACAAGGATTGAAATTGTTCCACAAGCTATTTGCAGGTGGAAAAGAATTTCATACCTTTTGCAAAGCCATCTGCGCTATAATCCTGCCAAGTTCGCCACACCACGGCTGCGCTGTAGCCGAAGGAATTGCAAGGAGATGCCAAGACCCAGACAGCATTGTTGTGCGGTGTCGGGCAATGCGCTGCTTCGTCATGGTGACCAGGGAGAAGAACACCATGCGTATGAGAAGTTCCTTCGAGAGGGATTTGCCACCAACACACGCTACGAAGCCCCGCATTCTGCGTTGCCAATTTAAGCATATGTATGAAGATATGTCTAAGCTTGGCACTTCTGCGCGGCGAATGCTGGCTTGTGCAACCCGGAAAGATGCAGGGCACAGGTTGTAATGAGTATGGACAAGGAACAGGGCCGAGTTCAAGGCGCTCGCACCGAAGCTTTGACGACCTTCGCCTGCTTCTCAACCTGGCAGTAAGGCTTTGCGAGATTGAACTTTCATCTAGATGGTGTGACTGGGCTCCGCGCGGCAATCTTGATCTTCTGCTTGGCGTTGGCCATGGCTGCTGGGAGAGAGTAGAATCAGCGCTATTCTCAAGAACTTCGCAGGTTGAGCAGCTCATTCCCAGTCCGGATGAAATTATTTACGCGGTTTTTCATGCGGGGAATCGGACATGTCATGGTACCATGATGGGATTAATGGTTGCAGTCACAGCACCGGCATGACATGCTTGGCCATGTGCATCCAAGTATACATGATACATGTGGAAAACAACTGCTTGCCACGCAGCTCTTTTTGCCCCGGCGTGCGTGATCTTTCACCTACCGTTGTCGCTCGCCCATTGGTCCACGGGATGCTGGCCACTAAGTTTCCTAGCCAAAAGAAGCAGGTTCCGCCTGCTTGTCTCTCTGGCCCAATCTGGCCTGCCACTCCTTTCTTTGGGCGACGGTACACGCAGAGAGGGACTGGATGATGCAGATGCGGGATGATCTTCGTTGGCTGGTGGCATCCAATCCTGAGCAATGGCCCTCATTGAGCAAAGCAGCATGGCCCCAGTGGTGGCACCTCCTTCGACATTCCCCCAGGAGGATAACGAATGCGGTCACGAGACAGCTACGCAAGGATTTCGAGACCTACAAGGAGACCGAGATTGTGGACCTATGCTTCTGGGGAATCTACAAGACCCTACCGGGAGGCGAGGAAAGCGCTCCATGTTTGTGGTGGTGTTGCAGCTGAGAAAAAGGCTTCGTGAGCAAATCTGCCCTTGGAGTACACTTCTTCGCGGCTCATGGGCGTGTGGCGAGATATCGGAATTGTTTGGATGGCACTCAATGCCAAGCTTGTGGTGTGGAGCACTGGACCGCTGGCAGGCTGGAGGCTTCCAAATGGTGTGTGGGTGCTCTTAAAAACCACCGACGACGGACACACACGGCCCTGCCTGGAAAGGGGAGCAAAAAGCGACGAAAGGGCGAGCAGGAGAACTACACTCCTGCCCTTCCGACTAAGGTTGCTGACTCGAGGGACACAACGAATGGGAGGAGAATCTCTACAAGCTTTTCTCCGACGGCATCCAAGGGCCAACACTCTCTGAGGAACCGGGGCAGATCCATATTACCTTGGCTGGGAGACTCCGGTCAATCCGTGTCTACCAAGACGAGCTTGAGCGAGTTGTAGACAGATTGGTGGGAGAAGTTGAAGACCTGCAGAGAGACCCGGAGCTGCGGCCGTGGACAGCGAGTCAGCAGGCTGCTATCATGCAGGGTCTCACGAGGGTCTGACAACCATCACTGATGGCTGAATCCAAAAGAGTGGTCAGTAAGCTGTCCACCTACAAGGACTTCAAGAAGGTCTTGCAGTCCATGGACTGGAAGAAGACCGACAGTGTGCAGCAGGACAATCACGGGACCCCAGTCAAAGTGGCATACGAGCTGGGCGGCAGCTGGGAAGCTGAGTGGCACCGCCACAGAGACACTTTGAATGTTTCGGCCGTGATTGGCGATCTGCTTTTACTTTTGCCACCTGATTTGTGCACAGTGTGGCGAGCTCACCAGGCCCAAAGGGCGGTACAGTTACGAGCTCCTGCAACCTTCTAGGCTTGCGGCTTTCTTTGAGCCTTTCAAGTGTCCATGCATTTAAATTTGGCTGCGTACTCCTCTGACAGCAAGGAAATGCGAAAAAAATAAAACTATAAATATATATATATAGATACACATGTATGGATGGAAGCTTCAAAAGATGCTACTGCTAAAACCCGTGCACCCCGGGAACACTGCGAAGTTGAACTCGTCCGAAACCGGCAAGATGAAGGTCGCCACTGTTCTGTTGCTCTCTGCATCTAACAGGTTACGTAGCCGTCAGCATGTCTTTCGGCGACAAATGGCCGGCAAAATTGGACGCGATCCAAACGAGGATTGAGGGTCGCACGCAAGCAAGGAGTCTGACTCCGGATGCCAACAGAGAGAGGTGACCTGTTCGGCTGCGCTCCGTGTTCCAACACTTTTTGCCAGCGCCGTGCCGGGCGAAGCAAGACGGCCTCTTTTTGATGAGCCTTGAAGACCTTCCGCACACTCATCGTGCGCACATCCTAGGAGGAATGAAAGGAGAAAAGTGGCCGAACTTTGAGCTGCGAAGGTTCCAAGGCTCCGGCCATGAGCATGACCAGTTGGTCTCTCGAGGCACTTGCTAGCCACTGGCCGTGGGGGCTCCAGGCCTTATGTGCCGAAGCGATCCGCTTCAAGCCCTTTGAAGGCTAGGCCCTTCAGCAAGCCTAGTCCTTTACAAGCCGACTGAGCCGGCCCAGTTTGCAGTAGTGTGTGAGCTTTTCGTCAGAATCTGACAAACGGACTGAACTCTGAGGAGCAAGCTACACGCGTGACGGTGTTCTTATGGCAGAAGATGGTGGTAATCGCTTCGGATGCTCGGGGATCCCAAAGTTTGATCTGGGAATCCTGCGAATCGCGGAGACTTGATGTGATCAACGGAAAGGGTGGCCAAGTTGTCCCAGAACCTTCGAGCCGGTGGCCACCAAACCCTTGGTCGGGTGCCATGCGCAGCACCTCAACGCTCACAGCACATGCACCACTGCCTGGAGGCTCCGGAGACTGAGGCAGCGTTCAGCTGCCGACTTTACATCCCAGCCATGACCAGTGAACGCCCGCTCCTTAGAAGTCTGCACTCAGAACTAAGCGGCCAAACCTCCCGATCAATTCCGATGCCTCTTCGCCGGTCTTGAGGTCCCAAACCTCTCAAAAACTGCGAGGACATGGAGTCCGGTCCCTGATTCACCACTTGCCTTTGCATGTGAGTCGTCTGCACAGGAGCAGAATTTTTCCCCAGTCGGCGCTACCTGGACGCAGAGTCACTGATCATGCACTGCCGCTTCACCGACTGGACAAAGGCGAATCGATGCTCTTGCAGCCTGAGGCCTTTGCTGCTATGTCGCACACGGAGTCCTTGTGGCCCTGGAAGGTCTGGAAGTTGTAGATGAATGGATCCTTGGCCAAGTGCCAGGATTTGCTTGGGCGGTCCTTGTGCTCTTGGGACTCTTCTGAGGCAATGTTGCAGTTGCTCATTGTGCCGCAATAGGTCTCCAGGTCTGGCGTCACCTCCCTCAAACACCTCCCGTTCCTTGGCGATTTGCCTGGGCCTGCGTGTTCGCTTCTACCATCTCTCTGCTTCTACTAGAAGCCATTTGCACGCGGCGGGTGAGCAACACCAGGTGGCATCTGAGATCGTCACCCAAAGCTTGATCATGCCCAGCTGGTCACCGCTTACCATGACGGCCTGTTACAAGCAGCACCGGCCACCAATAAGGAAGGCGCAGCTGCTGAGGGTCGTGAAGCTTTTGTTGAAGGTTCTTTGGCATGCCTTGTTTTCCTGGGCGGAGGGTGGTAACAGTCCGGGGAAATTGTTCGTCAGAGTCGAGAAGGAAGCGAGCATATCAAGAAATCAATACAACCGATGGGGAAGCGGCAGGAGGAAAGACGGAGAAGTTCTAGATAACGATGTCAGTCCTACGTTTGGCACTCGCCGAGGATTGCGGGTTGGTGTTGTGAGCTTCAGGGGTTGTCCTTTAACGGTTTGGGAGGACGCGACTCCTGCTGCCACCTCCCAGTCTCTTTCCCACTGCCAGGGTTGCACCACCTCTGAAGCCGAAGTCTGAAGAACATCTGCAAAACCACCAGAATTCCGAGACAAACTTGTAAATGCTTTAGCCCCTGGAGCACCTACAGACTACGCAGGAACCACAAACAACCCCGAAGCCCTTTTTACCCAAAGCCGCAGCTCACATTGCCCCTTCTCAATCCTCTTCAATGAGCAATGCGGTTTCAAGTAGTTATGTATGGTTGCCTGACCTGTTTCGCTTCGAGCTTCAGCCGTTGACACGTGGCACAACTGCAGTCTGTCTGACCTGCCTCGTCTGGAGTCCAACACATCGCCTTGATGCCGGCCTTGCCATGTCGATACACCCAATGTGGTAGCTGACATCATTCGAAAAGCCGCTGGGTGCACGACGTTGTGTGCCTGCATGACATTCTCGGAATGAAAGGCCAAACCTTGCTTCTCGTCAATGCTCATCGCAGATTCTATGCATCTTCTCTGATAAGAGCCTTTGATATGGGTGCCGGGGCAAAAAGCATTTAAGCAGGATCCAAAAGTAAGTTCGCCCCCAGGGATCAAGTAAACACTGCAAAGCTCGGCACGTTCTGCTATTGTACAGCAGATGCTGCACATGGGTCCCCAGAACAGGATACTCGCGCTGCGCATCTGCCACTGTGGTTCGGTGCACGTTTTCACTGACGTCCTACTATCTACAGAGGATTCGCCTGCCGCAAGTGCCCCGGAGCCAGGACACATTGCAAATAATACGACATGGACCACTTTCTGCTCTCGACAACCGTGAATCGCAGCAGTATTTTGGGAAACGATTCCGGGTGTTTCTCTAGATCTCGCAAGCTCAAGGAGGAAGCACAAGTCGCCTGCGCCCGAAACGCGAGTACTTCATGGCAAGCACTTTCTCGCTGGTCCTCGAGCCGCCAGTACTTGGTGGAAAGCGATTTCGTCGGTCTCTTAATTGTGTCCTTCAAGGTGTGTACAGTACGTGGAGGAGAGCGTCTTTATGCGTCTTTTCAGTGTCCTGGTGGTGTCGTGCTGGTCTTCTGGTTGTTTCTTACTGGTCTCCCGGTTGTCTCCTGGCGCTGGTCGTTGTTGTCGTGGTCGTCCTTCGTGGGTGGAAACATGACGTAGATGCTGGAAAATAGCACAGATGGCAACTAGTTGCGACCTGTGTTTTCCCAAACAATTCAAGCAGCATGTGACGGTGGTCGGTCAGAATAGCATGCTTCCGGTGTGGTCTTTCATTGTTTAGGGATCTCCACTGGAAGAATTGTATTTGTGGTCCTAACAAGGCTGATAATGATAATACTAATAATGGAACAATAGCAGTAGCGCTAGTAATCATAGTAGTATCACAGTAATATCATAACGATATCATAGAAATACCAATGGTTGCAATAATCACAATAATAATTGTTTGAATACTTTTGCTATTCTTCGGATTATTAACAACGGTACTAACAATAGTATAAATAATACAAACACTGATGGTACTCATAGCAATACTAGGAATAATGACCATAGCAATGCCCGTAGTACTAGTAGTAGTATTTAGATGGTAAGAACACTAAACATAGCAACACAACAATGATGGAAATAGCAAGGAGGTTTACTGGTAACGATAGTAATGCTCGTGTTTGAGCAATTCAGTGACAGGAAACAGTGATGTGTAGGTGCTTTGTTTGATCCAGTTTAAACTTCTTGTTGATACTGATTATGAGGTCTTGTTGATCGTTGTCAGTTCTTTGATCTGCATTCCGTTTTCATCTTCTGTGGCCTGCTCTTTGCATGCATGTGTGTATGTGTGTACGTGCTTGCGATCTGCATGTTCGTTCCCACCTAAGTTGACGTGCATGTAAAAGCTGGCATGATTCACAGCAGAGTCAGAGGAAGGTTAGATTGTGACAGTTAGATCACGTTTCATTAGATTACAACTATGTTTTATCATCATCACGTATCGCGTTATATCATATTATATCACATGAGTTCACATGATGTCATTTTTCATTCTACTCTAGTTCACTTCTATTTTGTTCTGTTCTATTCTATGCTGTTCTATTCCTGTTTGCTCTTGTATAGTATGTGATAGAACAACACGATATCGTGCTACACAGTTGTTTTGATGTATTAGGTTGTGATAAATATATTTTATACGATCTTGCGATGCATTGTCTTGTGTTGTCTTATCTTATCTTGTCTTATCATGTATCGCACTACATTCATACCATTTGGTTGTGTTATGTTGCATTATATTCTGTTCTACTGTATTCTATGACCCTATCTCATCTGATTTGGCCTTATCTGGCAGAACAAGACAACGAGGTTTGTCGTGATGTGTTGCCGCCTCATCGACCACTTCTGATACCACTCAGTGCACATGGGAATTTCAATTGCCGTCAGATCATTTACTTTGAACAGGGGGGGGGAATGTGATAATGTGACATGATAATGCGACAGACAAACCAGGTAGGAAAATGGCTAAGCACCAAGCAAAATATGTCCGAGTAGTGAGAAGAACCAGTAACAAGCAACGCTACCAATCACAAAGGATTCCTGTGGGAACACTTGCCATTTCATGGTTTGTTGAATGAACAAGGTCATGAAAGCGTCCTGGCAAACTGCTTATGGAGGAACCACATAAAAGACAACATAATCGAGCCAGTTACATGGCTGGGATGTCTTGTTCTATTATGCCGTTTGCACTGTTGCTGCTGCTGTTGGTTTTGCAGTTGCAGTTGCTCCTGGTGCTGTTGTGACCGTGATTGTGGTTGCTGTTGCCGTGGATGTGGTAGTGGTAGCTGCTGCTGTTGATGTTGTAGCCGCCACGGATCACAGAAGGCAGTGTAGCCGTGCTAACCAGGCACCGGGTGCTAACTTTCAAGGCTCGCAACAGTCTCCGTTCGCGAAGCGTAAGGGTGGTCCGACAGCTTAAGCCATATGAGCGCACTGGAGCATGGCGCCTTTGTGATCTGCAGATGTGAGTGAGGCCCCGGAGGGTGACTTGGCGCTCCCCTTTGAAAGGGCTCGGAGAAACTCAAGATGATCCGACTTGGCTTTGTGCACGGCTCCAACAGAGAGGCTCGGGAGCCAAAGCTTGAAGGCCACCAGAAGCGCGAGGCCTTCCCAGAGCGTGTTATACTTCGACATGCCCCGTTCTGCCGAAAACTTCTCGAGCAGCTCGTCAGGTTGCTGTAGAAGACCTCGACAGGCCGACCCTGCAGATGCCTCCAATGCCGCAAGGCGAGGCGGCTGTATTCACAAACGCGTCCTTGATATCCATGCCGGCGCGGAAAGGCTTGCCCGCCTTCGACCGCGAGGAATCGCGAGGAGCGAGGCCACGACTTCCAGCAGGCGGGGTAGGTCATCCTGCACCCTTGGATGCCCGTCGGCCCTTCCTTGCTGCGTTGGGCCGCGACCCGGGTGTGTTCCGGAGGTCGATGTCCCTGTAGTTCGCGAAAACAAGGGAAGCGCGGCGACGGCCGACAAAGAAGAGGGCTCGCCGATATACCAGTGCCCACCAACCCAAAGGCGAACTGGGTGCCGCGATGACCGGGGCGTCCACCTCCAAGAAAGGAAGCCCAAGCCTCAAACGAAGACCGCGAAGATGAAGAGGCAAAGCTCTGCCCACGAGGCCTCCTCCCAAACAACGATCAGCCCACCCAAGGAGGCATAACCTACCGACCACGCGAAGCAAATTGTCACTACTCCTAGGAACAACGGAAACAACACTTTCCATTCCGTGAATGGCGATTTCTGTAAATTTCTGTGCTTTGCGGCTTCTGCTCGCACCACAGACTTACCCAAATGTCTTGCCTTTGAGTCTTGAACTTACAACCTGAGGACAGCCTGAGGACCCTCAAACTGCCTGAGAACAGCGTCTGCAAACAGTGGCATACAAATAGCACCACGACCGGCGCACCATGTACCATCATGATCGTTTTATGTAGTTGCACTGTGACTCGCTGCTTTTATGCATGGTCTTGCAGCTCCGCGGCCATTCCAGATGGTCATCTCGCCTGCAAGTGTACCAGTGAGAATGCGGCGGCCTTGGACATCGGGCTGGCTTGTGACCGTAGAACGAGTTCGCAAACCTTTCCTCGGCTTCTGGGGAGAATATTGCATACTTGTTGGATCTTGTTGGCAGTAGCATTAGCATAGCTTTGGCCTGGTGTGCATCGTAGGTCTCCTCACTACATGCAGTGGCCACGGTTATAGGACCGCCCCCGGCAGCAATCCTCACACCAATCCTTCTTACACCATGAATATTGAAGGCTTCCCCAGCCCCACAAACACCGTCTGCACATACGGAATCTTAGATCTTTATTACAGCAGCCAGCGCAAGTAACTTTCCGAAGATCCTTGATCATCCCTATATTCATGAATGGTTTCTTCCCCTCCGGTCTAGAGTCTAGATGCGCTCAACAATATGTGTTGGCACGAGTGCGAGGCTCAACTGAATGCTGTGTGTCCGAACACACCGAACCTTTTCGCGCTTTCAGAGCCGTGTGCTGACGGCCTAGCCGGACATGTCTTTGGTCAGGACTGGACTGCCTCTCCTGGCGCCGCACCGTTGGGGAACCATGTCGCCACGTAGACAGGCGACCTATCAATACGAGTATGACGCACGCCAGGCAGCAATACTCCGCACGGGCGCAGCAAGACTTCTCTCGTCGAATCCTTACCTCGAAGCCTGATTTGGCCGAACACTCCACCTCTACAGCCTGACGGCATTCTGTATGATCAGTGCAGAGGCCTGTTTTTGTTCACAGCTGCATAAACGAAGCGGGGGCAAATGCCGTCGTACGGATTTCGCGGCCTGGCTCGGGTCAGACCAATTTCGGAAGCCCTCGGGGCGTGCATAATCGCTTTGCAAGGTTGTCGACATTCGAAGCTTCAAGACGTGGCCGGTCCGGCATCGCGAAAGGAGGAACTAGTTCCTTCGTATAGTTGTAATGTCCTTATCTGCAGGAAGATCTGGAACTCAACCCTCTCCCTCCATGCATCCGGCAGATGTCTGAGTGACGTGCTTTGCAGGTGCCTCGGGCGCGTACGACGCCCCACACAGTCCTGCAACAGGGCATCCAACGTCACGGACTGCTGAGCCTGTGAAGGAAACCCTGCGGAACTCGTTTCTACGAGCACTGCGAGCCTCCATCCATCGGACCACGTCGGAACCGTAGTCAACAGTGCGTTTCGTGAACTTCCGAAGCTGGGCATCATCGATGCTCTTGCCCTCGAGTGTCGCGATGCTTTCCACACTTCAAAATGCAAATTCGCGAGACATGGCCTTGCCCTTGCCGTATGGGACGATCTCGTGACTCATTGCAGGAGGCCTTACCGTGGCGCCACTGATTTGCAGATCTCACTCGGAAACATGAGCGGGCAAATCATCCTCGCTCTGAGTGAAGTGATTCATCGCAGATTAACATCTTTACCAGCTGAGTTCATCTATCTGCTAAGGCTCAGGCACATCGCACCTTGAATGTAAGGCAGCACGGAGGAACACCCCAAAGTCTGCAAATCAATGGCTTTCGATCCTATGGTGCCCATGCATGGAACAGGAGTTTACGACTGTACTGCCGAATGGTTGAACAGGCCGACTTCACAAGATAAAATGCCATGAGGACTGACACGTGGAGCGATTTGCACGTTCAATCACAGGAACCGAATTCCAGTAACTGTGGCTGTCTAGATGCGGTGTTGGTCTTGAACATGTACGAGTACATGCAATAATTTGCTGCGGGTAGTTGCTCTGGGTAGTGTAAAGCCAGCGTGATTACACACAAGTGCAGCATCCGAAACATGCACATCTGGCGCATCTGATCACTTTTGACTTGCAAGCCGTTGTCTCCAATCTCTGTGAAACCGCGGTAGCCGCCTACCTTGCTATCGCCTGGAAGTCTTCAGACCAGGTCTGCCTGCAGGTCGCAAGCCGACGTGTTAGAGGTCGTCAATAATCTAGTGATTTTTGCTCTGGCCTTGGCCCTCCCAAGCTGGCACTGGCTGTGGAGCGACTGAGGGAGTGAACTACCAATTGGGGTCGAAGGCTGCCATTGAGATTTTCCATGATCTTCCACTTTACACCGATCATGAGCATGCAGAATCATTTCGAGCATAGCCTGCGCTGAGGATCCAGCTCTACAGGAAGCCGGAACTCATTGCAACCGAATTGGAGTAGGAAATGATTAGTGGTTGCGTTTAGAATTTAGAAGGATGGGAGAGGTACGCCTTTCCTTGGCCGGCATCCCTGCCTTCGCAGAAAGAAGTGAAGACCCACCCATGTTCACCCTGTATCCTCTACGTCATTTCAATGGTTTGAATCCGGATGTCTGGATGCAAGGCTTGGGGGTGCTGGCTTTAAGGTTTGAGGGCGTGGGCACATTCCCGAGTTTACATACGCGAAACCTCAAACGCGAACACGTGTGATGCCAAGTCTAGCAGCACACATGTACCACGGCAAGCCGCATGCTTTGTTGCCTTTTCTTTATCTAAAACGCTCTGGATCGCTCACACACCTTCCTGGATCTTGTACTTTCGCTGACAAACATGTGGTGTCTAAGATGAGTGCTGCAATTCACCCTGTGTTCACTCTCGTCCCAAGCACCGGCCACCCACCAAGGCACCCGACTTGCCGACTCTCCCACCTACACATTCTTCCTCACCACTCGCGCTACTCTTACTCAAATATGGTGGACATTCTGAAGACGAGCACGGGGACAAACGTGCAGCAAGTAGCAATTTTTGTACGTGAGATCAGTTCACAGAATTGCAGCCAACCGATAGTTCGGACAAAACCCCGCTTGACCAGTTGATTGGCAGTGGCAGTGCGTCTACTGCGATCCGAACTGGCCTCCTCGCGCAGATATTCGCCAACCTGAAAGATGTCTTAAAGAGGCTTTTGAAAAGAACTGTGAGCTGGATTGCGTTGCGTGAACAGCCATGGCTGCCCTAGCTGCAAACTTCAGCTGAATATTGGAATGAGATGCGAAGGGAAGTTGGACAAGCTTGTTACTGCGTAACACACTGCGAACTCGCTCGCACCGCAAACTTTTTCGCCCGTCCGGAGTCCGAGAGCCTTGGTGCGCTTCGAACGTCGCACCGCAAGCGTTTGCAGCTTGCGCTAACAACACCAACAATCATGAGCGCCGATGAAAACAATCAAAGAGATGGTGAGCCCAAACTGTTTCCCGATTCCACCTTGCTCTTCCACTCGTACTCGTGGCAATACTACGTCGCGAAGATGCGATTCGTTCACCAGCCCCCTTCTTCATAGGGCTAGTCTGTGTCTCCATGGCGGCCGGAAATACATACGCCACCCTTCAACTTCTACCCCAGCTTATCCGCCGACCCCTGCTGGGGCGGCGCCAGTGAAGTCCCGAAGGGTTGTTTGTTTGTTTGTCTGAGGCATTGCTCTTGCACTTATCCCGTCAAGAAGAATTAGCAGGCTTCAAAGTTGGCTACACCGCCACCCTCCCACCAACCCCACCACCCACACCGCCCTCAG